GTTAGAAAAAACACAATGCCTTGTTGAAACGGCTACACGTTTATAGGTCTGTGGTCTTTGAGGCTGGTGTAGGTTGTGCTGAGCAATGGTGGTGGATTAGGAATATGTACAGCATTATCTTCCTCATCAGGCACAAGTACATCATTATTATGTACAGGTACTTCCACATCAGGTACAACAACTTCCATAGTGAGTACAGGTCCATCAGCATTTGGTGCAAGAAATTCAGCACTGGGTACAGGTACTTGAGAGTTCTCAACTACAGGCTCATCTTCAGCATGCATTATATGATTAGCATCATGTTGCAATTGCCGTTGTATGGTTCTTTTCGCTGCCATCCAACATGCTCTGCATACTCTATCCAAAGACCGCATCTGGACAAGAAAGATTAATAGTTAGAGATGGTTTTAAGTTACAGTTATGATTATTCTCCTATGAGATATATAATAAAAATTGAACATCTATTATTGAGTAATTTAATTTTTATTTATTGGAAACAAAATGAAATACATTAAGTTTTGATTCTACAATTAAATCAAAGGTTATAATGTATTTTATTGCAGAGGGTAGGTGTCCTTATGCTTACAAGAGGTATTTCATGAACAACAGATGGGATGCAAACAAAACTAGTTACATAAACTGATAATCATTTGATTTGTTTACATACCAGGTGTGGAGATATCCGATTAAGAATAATATTCCTTTCTTCAACTTCAATGATTGCCAACTTCCATGCTGCAGTCGAAGGGAATCGAGTCGAGGGCAGTTAATGCACCGACGAACGGAACACGAACTTTCCGTTATGGTTATAATGGAGTCTCTATCTCACTTTCACAATCAGTTTTTACAAAGAGTTTCTGCCTTACAGTTAGTACAAAAAATATAGTCTTTTTCTCAAAATACGTGTAGTTACTACAATGAATCACAATAACACACACGGAAAATTTACAAATTCAAACGACGCTGAACTGTTTGACAACAAACAATAATCATACAGCTACAGTGTTGCCATAATTATAAAAACTATATTGATTGAAATTAAAAATTGAAATCGACCACATACGAGTTTGTATTCGGGCAATGAGTTAAAAGAAATATAATTTCTTTTGATTATTAAATCTAAAAAATAAAGACAAGTATCGATTCCCAATAAACATAATGCCGATTGCTTCCTCAGTTTATGATATTACGGTTTCATACACCTAGTTTAAAAGCTAATATTTAATTTGTAGTTTCGAGTCAATGACAAAAAAAGTTTATTGTCGTAAATTTTTTTTTTAATTATTATCATGCTATTATTAAATAATTACGATTGATTCATGTTTAAACAACTGGTTATTTTATATAAAAAAATCGATTTAATGTAATTATTTGTGAAATGATGTTACCACTACAAAAAATCCCTAACGGAAAATTGAACGACTGATAAATAATAATTAATATATAAATAAAACAACTAATATTTCATGGTCATTTATCCGGCAAATGTGAGACGCCACATTAGGTTATAAAATCATCATAAATATAAACAAAAATTATCACTGTCACGAACTTGTGTCACAGTTTAAATAATAATCATCAAGCGATACCACATATGGGTGTTCCCCTTTCGAAAGTGATAAAGATTTTTTCTTTCCATCGCTCTTATCAATATGATAATTTAAAAGAAGTTCCTCGAAAATTCCGAACTTTTATACTGTTCAGAACTGTTGGAAAAGTTCGAAATTTTTTAACTTTTTTTCGTACTTTTATAATCAAGAGAATTATCGAAAAATAACAAAAAAAAATGTCATATCCGCAACTTAAAATTTAATTTCTTTTGATTCTAGAAAAGTTCAAAATATTGAAAATTTCGAACTTTTATAGTGAAAGAACTATTGGAAAGACTTAAAATCGAAAATTTTCACCATGTTTAAAACAGTAATTTGGTTTGTTTTCTTTTTATACCAATTGTATGAAATAATAGTGTTTTTAAGGAACGTTCTCGAAACATTTGAAGTTTTGTCTTGTAATAATTCATTCCTTAAATATTAATATTCTTTAACTGATATTGAGGTTTTATAAAAGTTCGAATTTATCTTAAATTTTGAAGTTTATAATGCCCCATTATTGCCTTCTGACTCAAAATAAAGTTCTTGTATGTGACTTACGTGGGATAGGTGGATGGCTGTATAGATCTTGCTCTTGGAGTCCATAGGGGCTGGTTTAACAGCGTCACGTACAACACACTTTGCGATGAGTGTTTTTAATGAGAATCACACGCGCACTTATAGTTGTTTTTCTTTTATTAACGTGGCGCCGGCGCAGGATTCGGCGTTCAGAGCGGGTGGGAGTAACGGAGTGACGTGTGACTTGAGAGCGAATTGAGAGCGAGGAGAAGACTTGACGAGTAAGAGACGACGACCAACCACGGCGTCTTGAGAATAGCGACAGACTACTAGTTCATTTCAAAATGGTTCTAGGATATGCGGAGCGGGGAAAGGGGGGAAGGAATAAAGGGTGTGTGTTTGATGCGTTCAGAAACGTGTAATGAGTGATTGAGTAATATTTAAATATAAAAATAATAGAATAAATACGTGAGTAATAATATGGCGTAAACGGCGTTTACAACCCCCCCGGCCTATAAGTCTTTCCTCTAAATAGAGCGTAATAGTAAAACTAATATCTAAGAGTAAGAGTTAAAAATTGCGTTTTCTTTTTTTATTATTGCCGCGGAAGAGGGCAAACTCTAACCACTGGGCGAATAAAGCTACCAGCAGCAGTGCGAACTTTAACTGTGCGAATTACTTTATCCCTTCCCGGATAAATTTCCTCTACTGTGCCCAACAGCCAACAGAGAGGGTGCCCGTTATTATCCTTCATTACCACCACCGTACCTAATTCTATAGGATGCGAGGGTGTGAGCCACTTCTCTCTCTGCTGAAGAGAAGTTAAATATTCTTGGCTCCAGCGACGCCAAACACTTTGAGAGAGGTTTGTTATGAGTTGAAAACGAGTTAAGCGGTTATCCAGTACCTCAGAAAGATCTTCTGCAGGTAGGAATTTAAGCGGAGTAACGTTTAAAAAGTGATTAGGAGTTAAGGCGCTAATACTCGAAGGGTCTTAGCTAAGAACACATAGAGGGCGGCTATTTAGCTTTCCTTTGATTTGAACGAGGACTGTGTTGAGTTCCTCATATGTGAGTACTTGAGTCCCTATAATTTTATATAGGTGAGTTTTAACACAGCGAACATTAATTTCGGCGAGACTATTAAAATGCGGTCCGTACGGCGGACTATGCTTAAATTCAATGCGTTGCTCAGCTAACTGATTACCTATGTAATTTTTATGCGCGTCAGAGTCCAATAAAGCGTAAATTTCCTGTAGTTTGCGTTGAGCTCCAATAAAGTTGCTTCCTCCATCACTATATAACATAGAGACGGGGCCTCTTCTACTAATAAAACGTTTAAACGTTGCAGCTGTGCTGAGACTAACTCAATGTGAAGCGCCTTCGTAGTTAGACATACGAAGATACAAATATTTGCCTTTTGGCTTTTGATTCCGCGACGTCGTCTGTGTGTGACGAAGTACGGACCGGCGTAATCCACAGCGGTAAAAGCGAAAGCCTTAGCCTCAGTTACCCGAAACTCTCGTTAATCTCCCATGAAAGGAGTTAGCGATTTAGGGTTGAGTCGGAAGCAAATGTTGCAAGCGTGAACTCTTTGACGCACTAGGTTTCTAGCGCCAAGAATCCAAAACCTTTGACGCAGCAGTGCGATCAAAAGCGTGGGACCTGTATGTAGGTTAGAGTAATGATAGTAATCAATTAGCATTTCGGTGAAGCGGTCTTTAGCGGGGAGCAGCATGGGGTGCTTTTGACTAAAATTCAACTGAGCATGCGTAAGTCGTCCACCGACGTTATTATCGTCGATAAAAGAACTGAGTTTTAAAAGAGATTTATTCATGCGTTCATCATTTTTTAATGCCGTTATATCATTAGCGAAATGTTTATTTTGAATATAGCGTACAAGATAGCGTTCAGCGTAATCATAATCTGCGGGAGTAACCAAACCTTTGCTGCGTAAGAGCTTTGAAAATCGAAGTACATAAACGGCGGCGCGTAGCAACTTTTTAAAGGTTGAGATGCGGTCAATCAAACGTTGTAGCGGATGTTCGTCACTGGGACCTTAGTGCCGAAGTAAGCGTTATTGTTTTACCTTCAAAACTTTCATCTTGTGTTGAACAAGGCTGAAAAGGAGCGATAGGCCATGTATTAATAGGCTGTGCAACCCATTCCGCAGCGCAAAACCAAAGAAAGCCTATTACATGCCAAGCTATACGGCGTGACAGGGCGCGATATCATATCTGCGGGATTATCAGAGCCACTAATATGATACCAGTGTTTAGCGTCAAGTTTAGCGTTAATCTCGGTAATTCGATTTGCGACAAAGGTGTGAAATTTAAACGAAGGCGAGTGAATCCAAGTCAGCGTGACTGTGAAATCAGAGAATGCGAATATCGAGTTTATTTTACAGCGTTTCGTTAATATATTAGTTACCGAATCAATTAAATTAGCTAAAAGTAGCGCGGCACAAAGTTCGAGGCGAGCGAGTGAAATCTTTTTTAGAGGCGCTAATCTAGACTTAGAAGCGAGTAGTGAAACGGAGCCCTTCGAGTTGTCATCGGGACTAACACGAATATAAACCACGGCACCATAACATTGCTCACTGGCATCAGCGAAACCTATCAGCGAAATGTGAGCGTTAGAGATAATACCTATATGTATAGCGACCCCGTTCCGTGACGTCGCTCAAGTTGAGCGCTAGGTCCTTATCCCCGTCATTGTGGTCATTATTCCAACGGCCTGTGCATTCGCTTCCCAGGATAGCTGGGTTCTACTAGCTATCCCAAGCGCGTACTCTCCTATGGCGGATACGGCTTCAGATTCCTCCCCGGCACCATACACTATAGTGTCTCAGAACGCTCTGTCATTCCCCACAAGTTCGGGGCTGACAGCCTGGTCACCTATTCCGACCCCCCCGCTTCCACTCCTCGTATAAACGGCGCTTCAGCATCGCGCGCTCCACATCATCAAGCGCCATAGCCGTACCCTCCTCGCCAGAGGCGGTACCGCGCTCGCTGTGTACGTATGTCGCGATACCGAGCCCGGTGATAAGTTCCGCTTCATTCGTCCATGCCCCAACACGTAGTGCGGGGGCCATATTGGCCAAGGCCTTGCTAACGAACACGTTATCAGTGAACGTCGTCGCGTGGTCGTGGTAATAGAACATACTTTCATCCTCGGGTGTTACACATTCCGGTAGTGTGTGCGTAGCGTAGGCGACGTCGCAATAAGTCCTGGGTAGCCATTGCGTTTCTGAGCCGCCAGCCTCGTCACGGAATATCTCCGGTTGGGGGACAAACCGCATCGTGAGCCACGCGACTATCTCATCTATCAGCGCCCTGCTCCATTGTCACTTTAAGGGGTGTGGGCGAGCGCAGGATTCTGTCGAGGCAGGCTGTCAACATATCGCCTATGGGCTGTGGGGTGTGCTTCCGGTCGATCTCGAAGTGCAGAGACGTGCAGCCATGTACTATTCAAGACAACAAAACATGGAATGCGATTTTTGGGGCGCGCGGGATCGCGGTAAAATTACAAGATTGCTTCAACAGCAGTCCGATGTCTATAATGACCTCATAGACGAATGGCAACAACGCTGGGATGAATCATCCAAGGGGCGCCATATTCACCAATTCTTTCCATCTGTTTGCGAACGGTTGTCGAGGACATGGCTTGAGGTAGATCACTGTGTCGCTCAATTTCTTACGGGTCATGGTAACTTTAAGAGCAAGCTTTATTCATTTAAATTAGTCGAGTCACCATTGTGTCAATGCTCAACACCTAACTCTCACTATGAACAGTCTGCTCATCATATCCTCTGGGAATGTAGTCTTTGGTATAATGAACGTAATATAATGCTGAATACCTTGCAGGTGACATCTGGGGCGGTATACTATAGGGATCTTGTGTCAACTAGGGTGAATTTCCGTGCGTTTAGGCGATTCTGCCATACATATTATAGAAATCAAATATAGCTCACGTAGGACCCCGTAATATTTCGTGGCCGTGGTGCTTCCCTGTTTAAAAGGGTGTATGCCCATTTTACTTCATTTTGTCTCCCGCTTTGCCAAGGAGGGAAGTGGATTTACTGTATTTCCAACTCCTCCAATTTTCTTCTGATTAATTTCGTTGCGGGTTCCAAGACAGTTTAATTTCTTCCTGGGACTTCCCGAGTGTCATAACTCGGTGTGTTCGTGGGTCACTGCTGTGGATCCTGGTGTACAGGAGTTACAGTGGTGGGCGTGTGGGCGGGATTAGTCCCATTTAAAAATTCTAAAATTTCAAGTTCTACAATTTTTAACCAGAACTTTTTTGTTCTAACTTTAACTAAAACTCTTACAATTTCTTTTTGTATCGTTAAATCTAATTTGTATCAAAAATGCAAACTTAATGTCCAAAATTCAGACTTAATAACTTTTTTGACTGGACCACATAGTTTTGCACAGCAGTGGGTTTAATTTATCTGAAATGAATAGTAAATCCAATTAAATACGCTTAAGTGTAAATTATTTAGTTCGATTATGTGTTAACTGTGGTATATTATTTTATTTTATAATCTTAAAGGTCTTTTAAATCGGTCAACATTACATATGTTGACCGATTACTTTAAGAGTATTATTTTTTTTGAGAAAAGCTGTCAAACATTGAGTGAAAAGATTGTTTAACTAGCCGCTACATAGTAATCAGTCTCAACGGCAGTTTATGTTTGGTGAATATGAAACAAATGGTTTCATACCAACTAGATCCCAATTACGTCGAGGTTTTGAACGACATAATGCTACCTACTGTGATCAATATTTATCCCGTGGAAGACATTAGTAAATATGTGTTTCCGACTGTGCCACCACTTCAAGGGATCCTCCTTTTAATGTAGGTATTCCTCGTTCAACTATTTGTCAAGCTCTCGTATTCCAGCCGTAACAGAATTTTCTGGGCGAACCACCTGATTCATGTCAGTATCAAAGTCAGCCCACATACTGTCTGCATCTATTGGTGCGCAAATTGTATTTAAACATTCTTGATTTTCACAGACAACGGTAAAATTTATTCGTATACGGCCGATCCTGCGTTTTATATCCTCACGCTTCTATTTGCCTTTTCAATTTGTTTACTAACTCTTGTATCACAGGATGCTTATAGGTTTTTGCGAGGTTTTTTAAAATATGCTTTTACATTATTTGTGTAAATATCAATACCTTTGACAGAGTGACATGATTTTCGCTTCCAACTTCTACTGTCACTTCAAAAAATGGTTTCGAAATTGCCACAACGGTTTCAATTACTTCCCAATCTGCGATTTGAAGATTGAGTTCTTTTCTTGTGAGAGCCAAAGTACTTATAACAGCATCTATTACTTTTAAAATCCTTTCTAGCATCTCGTTACACAGATTCCAAGGTGTTGGACATTCTTGTTTTAATTTTAAGATCAGGAAACCCATTTGTGTAATTACAGATTCTAATTTCATTTGCACCGTCCATTTTATTGAAGTATTCCACTGTGGATTTCACTTTACCTGCAATCTCAGATATTCCTTTAAGGCCATTCTTTACGATCAAATTTAATGTAGGGGCGAAACAACCCACAGGCCATTCACCTAGCCTGATAGCAGCTTGGATGTTAGCAGCGTTGTCACTGACGACGCGTTTTATTTTGTGATCTGCTAAATCTTGCATTATCTGCCGTGAGAAGGTAACTAAATTGTCACTTTTGTGAGTTTGATTATAATTAATGCATCCAAGTAAAAAAGACTGCATCTCAGTATTTAAATTAATAAAATGTGTGATATAATTTTATATCAATGCGTTCCGAGAGACATATAGCAAATGATTCTTTTAAGTATTGAAATACTTTCTTAAATACTTCTGTGTAAGTTTTAGGAATTAGAGTGTTGGTTAGTGTTTTCCTAGTTAGTAGCTAGTAACCGGGATTGGTTGACGCCATATCTATTAATTTTTTGAACTCCGGCTCTTTGACTAGGCGAAAAGTGTGATGACCTTTAGTCACCATTGCAACTATCTGCCTATCAATCTGGTCCACCTTGAGCGCAGACAGCGGTTGACGCATGTAATTTGTAATTAAGCTGGATGACGGCATTATGGGTATGAGCTTGTACTTGGCTCAGTCGAACTGCTGAAATGAATGATGTTATTTTCTATAGGGTCTGTAGCAGTTGGTTGTCTATCTACACACAGCGATATAGTTGGATGTTTTGTTATCATATGTCTCTTTTAAGGCTCCCAGGGAGATGTTTTTAATGCTCAGTTTTGTGAAGCAATAATTACAGGTGGCTTCATTGACACCCTTCTTATAGTAAAACCAGAGAGGCTATGGTCTTGTTGGAGCCTTTTCAAAAAATAATAAAACACTTGAGTATAATATTTAATAATATTGTTATAGGTCGAATGTTATAGATTAGATTTATTAGTAACTGTTAGTTTATACTCTACTAGAACGAAATGTGAACATCGTTAAAAAGAGTTCAGAGTTCCAAAGTTTATAAAACAAACTTACACTATAAACAAAAATTGTCTTGTTTTTAGCACAACGTGCTTCTATTTTTTGTGGATATGTATCTCATAGTCCTCTTTCGAAATATGTTTTAACTGGAAACTAGTGCAAACATGGCATTGGTCCTTCCTAGGTTTGTGAATTGAAATGGTGGAGGTGTGATCGAAATGTCGACTCTACGTAAATGTGCTTTGATGATGCCTGACAAGTGCACACTGTTACTTTGTTACTTCGGGACTCAAACTTAGGCACAAAAAAGTGGCAGTTATAGAATTAACATGTTTTTTTTTTGCTTACGAAAATCCTTTTCCAATTCTTTTTTCACCCCACGAATGCATATTGACTTGACGTCTTATCTTCTGATACCAAACCACACAAAACTATGTTTAGATTTTTGTTCTTGCAGTATGATTACAACGAGTTTTTACGGGATCTTGCTTCTTTTGGAATGCTCTGTTCTAGTTCTCCCTCTTTTTTTCTAGTAACCGATGTATTATTTACCCAGTAAACTGGAGCGTTTAACTTTCAATTTCTGAACAGGATGTAACGTGGTCGTGGGGTCGGACTCGTGTGCTAACACGTGGTCGAACCGGTAATTAAATGATGGAGAAAAATTATACAGTCAGGGCACTTTCACAATTTATAATTAAACTTGTAAAAAATAATTAAGATTTTGGAGATGGATGGAGAGTTCTTTTAGGCACCTAATGTCTCCTGCTCTTTCTTTTGTCGGGTTCCTCCTCTTGGGGACCTTGTCTGACCCAGACACGGATGCAATCGCTGCTTTCCATAATTTCGTGTATTTTGCATGATTTTAGACTGTTACTGGCTTTGCCATGGTCATGAGGCATGTCACCAGGGCAATGATCCCCTGGTCCAGCTCTTCTCGATCTCTGGTTGTCCCGTTATTTGGAACCAGGGTTGTTGCGAATATCAGTATCAGCTTCAGCATCCGGGAATTATCAACATTGTCTTTAATATCAGTATCAGCATCAGCATCAGCATCCGCAACAATCCGAGCTAATTTTAATGCTGATATTCAAGTCGTAACGTGTTCGTTGAAAGCGAGACCTAGCACCAGTCACGAAGAGTTTTAACCAATCATACACCGTCATATAAGAAAAACAACCTTTCCTTGGCAGTCGGCACAACTTAAAAATTCTAATGATTATTGTTACTCGCCTGCCAAGGAATTGTTTTATCAGTCTGCTGTAATAGAGGTAGAATAGCCAAGCCGGCTGAATTTTTCTTGATAATTATAACTTATAACCTGTTATATGTGTGATAACCTTGATAATTTTTACTTGTTCCTGCTGTAATAATCAATAACATCTAACAAGTAGTCATGATTTGGCAAAGGTTTAAGTAGGTGCATCGCAATGTCCTCTTTTCCTGAAACTGCACTAACGAAATGACGTGTTCATATAGGGACTCTCTTCGTTAAACAAATAAATTAACTAGTTAACAGCAACTTACAAGTGCCCGTACTGCACTATTTTATAAACAATATTCATAAAGTGCGGAAATTGATACTGACAAATACTACAGCGCAACTTCAAAGTTGTGTGTAAATCAAACAAATAAACTTAACAAATCGTCTCATAAAACATTGAAAGTGTGGTGATTACCATACAGCGACAGTTCGAATCGGCTGTTGTCGGAGTAGGTCTTATGGGCCTGTGGCTGGAACGAGGAGTCATGGACTGACATTGACATGGGAGGCCACCTCACATGAAAGCACTTTTATGCTGAGGACAACATATTTTAAAATTGTGACGATTACTTTTAAATAAAAATACTTTTAAATAAGGTTACCTCTGACAAATAATAGTAATTCATAGACAAGCACACAGGGTACGGTTAGCATTTTGAGTCTCTTGAAATACGGTTTACAGGTGTCAATTTGTTGGAGGTTGCACATTGCCCTGACACATCTTCTGAGCTATAAATACTTTATTTCAGTACAGTTACCCCAAAATATAATTCCATACCTCAAGATCGAATCCACGTACAGTCAATATAGCGCTATGGTTCATTTTTTTTGTGAGCATGTATAATGCATATGACTGGGTATTTAATTTTGCACAGAGGCATTCCACATGCATCTTCCAATTCAGGTTCCTATCTATATTTAGTTTCTACTTCGTGTATGACTTTTTGGTTTATGGAGAAGAAGACACGTTCAGATATCATGAATTCTATGAGGAATTAAATAAATTAGGGTTAGGATGGAAAGTTCTCATAGTTTTATGAATACCAGCTCCAGTACCCTTGTAAGGCACCATCACTTCATCAACACTAAATCGGTTCTCCTCTTCAGTTTTCAAACAATTTTGTCGGATTCTCCAATAAGAGTCATTTTTTTGTAATAAATATCACCGTCGTCACTTAGGCTATCCCCTAAATAAATGCACATAACGTCGAATTTGTTTAAATCTTCAGTGTCATCATATCTGCTATTTTGTTATATCTGAGTGCTTTAGATCTAAAGCCTATAGTCTAAAGCCATATTAATAGCTATAAACTCCTTCATTTCGTGTAAAGTTACATTAAAAAAAGTGGTCCTTATGGATATGCCTTGTGACTGACGGAATAAAGTTTTTAGTATTTGTGTAGTGTACCCGTATGCAAAAACACAAACCATAAGAATAAAACAAATAACTTATGATAACAAACGCAACATAGCAACCGAAAACTTTTGGACCTGTAAGTTCAAAATGTTACAAATGCCATATTCGAGACCTATTCAAAATACAACAATTACCTGTAACACGCGTGCAACACTCGCTTAGTCTTTCGGCGGTTAAACTGAGTTAGTTTAACCAATGCGATGCATCAACTAATTCGAAAGAGACAGACATACAAGATTCGTTTTGACGCACATTATTTATCAAGGGTTAAATGACTTATTTGCCTATAATAATGCCCTTAAAGTAAATCAAAAATTTCATTAAAATAATATAATTTTAATTAAAATAGGATCAAAGTTCATGTTTAAAGACTATAAGTTTTACTGTAAGAATGGTTGACTAGAGGTTACCAACGAATGGAACACGCGCAAGTAGGAAAAGAAACCCCGGTGTGATATCAACTCATATTTTATTCACTTAAGAATACTTAGCTGTAAGTATACACTTGTTACCTTTATCGTGAGTCCAGCTATAAGAACATACTTGTTACCGTTATCGTGATTCCCACAAAGTGGAAGCTCCTGATAAGCAATCAACCTAGCTATAAATCAGTCCCAATGAACGTCCCACGAAGGGAAGCTTAAATTGGAAGCTTACCTATCACAAGATTTCTTATAAAAACATAGTTAGCTTCGGGAGGTAATTCACCTGCGGAGACCCTTAACACTGCGATGCAGAATTGATCCGTACAACTCAACAAGCTCTTTTATAAGAAACAGTTGGCCTACCACGAACTCTTAAAACAGGCCAATTTTAGTCGAGAATTGAACGGTCGCTTTATTTTGTACCATAAACGCGATGATAAGCAGGCGAGTCAGCGATCTCCGGTCAGTGGTCACGTGATTAAGATTTCAACGGCTTGGCGTTACCATGAAGTGATATTTGACAGTTGAATATACGAAAACTGAACTGCCGTGCAGTCATATTTCGCAGGCGTAAAATAGTAGCTTTTATTGAACTGTTTTGTGTGATTTTGAATTAAAAATGTAAGTGATTGTTAATTTGTGCTTAGAATATTCAAGCTACATCATTAAAGACTATTCTCAGAACGAAATTTCATTATACTCGTATTTGCCGTTATTTTAGATGTGTGATGAAGACGAAGTATGAGTTTTTAGAAGATGATTTCAATAACGCTAAAAAGAAAGTAAGTGACAAAATTAATAGGAATGCCATCCGAAATTTGATCAAACCATTCGAATTGCAAGACGGAATGTTTATACAGCGATATAGGCTAACGAAAGAGTGTGTACTTGAGCTGTGTAATGAGATGAGACCATTCATGACACAACCTACAAAGTCCGCAGATTTGAGTGTAGAAGTCAAGGTTTATAGTATATTATAAACATATTTATATATTTTTGACTCTAATTTAATACATTCTAATCTATCGTCAACACTATTTTTCTAAATATTTCCCTTCTATAGGGGATCTTTCCAGCTACACTGCTTTTTAATTTCGCTTAATCTTTTCT